GTAATTTTCTAAAAAACATTTCAGTGCTTCACTGCCTGCTTTGATAATGAAAAACAGTCTCAGAAAGAGGGATTTAAGACATTTCTTTTTGTTAAAAAGACAGATGAGGTAGTTAATGTTCTTTTGTCAACTCCTTTTTATCCCTCCAAATGTTTCTACCTACTCTACCAACTGCCCAGTCACAGAATTATACAGGTTTCCAAAAGAGCATTTGCATTTTTCAGTTACAAGCAGTGTCTCTGACAGTCTCATCTCACATGTTTTAGTAAAACTGAAGACATTTGTGCTGGCATACATAAAATTGTTTACAAGGAAGTCCTCAGAATTAAAACAGGTATGACCAAGTTTCTTGTGAGATTCTGCTAATTCCACAAAAGCCATCAGGACACTTTAATGATTGAACTGACATCTGTATCAAGCATGCGGACTGTACATGTCCTGATCGGTGATGTACAAAATATCACAGGAACATGTTTTAAACTTGTCTGTTGAACTGGTGGAGGAAGAGAGATTGGTATAGATGTAATTAAGGTAATTAAGGACTGAGGCAGTTCCAGATAACAGTTGGATTATATATTTTCAAAACTGCTGAATTACCTGTTTATTTATTTATGAGATACAGCTCAAGGGGCAAATTCAAATCATCACACAGCTTCTGGTATGGCCCAATTTGATTATCTACAGCCTATATCCACATTTTGATACTTTTGTGGATTGAACTGAAAAATCATAGCCTATGCCCCAGTTAGAAGCATTCAGACTTGGAAATGCATCTACATGTAAATCAGCTCATTCCTATTTGATACAGTAATGCAGTTGTGATTTCCTTTGTTGGAGAAGATGTGTGTGTGCAGGTGTAAACAAGATACCGTCACACTGAGTATACTACGCAAGATTTTGTTTCAGACTGGATGTTCTGATTGCCAACAGAGAGCAATGCCACTCAGGATTCTACAGGAATATTAACAAACACATGGGTATGTTTCCTGTAGCTACAGAATGAAAATCCAAATACTTGGGCGTATGTCCATACCATTTTGAGGCTTGATGCCATTTAGATAAGCACTATCTAATTAAAATAGATTTACTTGAAGGGGCTATGCAACAATCTATGTATTAAAAATATTTTCGTACCTTCCACATATGTTTTCCTGATATGTCACTGAGCGCTACCACTTCTTGGCTTGGAATAACAATTATAGCAATTCCCACATGTTTCTCTAAAAGAAGTGTGCAATATAATACAGAGACCTCTAGCCTCTCTTTTAGATTTTAATCCAAACCAGAGAAGGACTAATTTTGTTCAAGCAGCATGACAGGTGCTGAGGGAATAGTATTTCCTAGATTCCTGGATAAACAACGCTTCCCTGCACCACTCTTGGCTAAGCAGGGCTAGTTAGCAGAGGAAGGAATGAGTGATCTTTCCTCCATCAGCACGTTCCCCAATCTGTATATATGCAACAAACTGTTTATCCTTTGTAACAGAGATCAGACGTACTGACTTTCTGTTCACATCTAGTGTAACTTATGTTTTTTCTGGTGACACTGCTCTGGAACCTTGGTTCAAGAATCCATTTTGTTCCTTTCGGCAATTCCTACAATGGAGGAGTGGTTGGTGAAGATGATGCAACTTGCTGAGATGGCCAGACTGACTTCTTTGATCAGAGAAAAGACAATATCTATGTTTATTGCTGAAGGAAACCTCTTATGGACTGTTTGCATAAAACATACAAATGAACTTATGATTTATGGTTTTGATATTAGACAGGATAGATTATAGAAAGAAGAGAGTCATGATGTAATTTTAGAGAAATAAATAAATTTATAATTGTATTTATAATTGCTGTAAAGATTATCGGAAGCCACTTCTTTATACCTTTTTTCTTTCTTTTCTATTTTTCTTTCTTTCTTGCACTTTTAGCTTTCCCCTTGATTTCATTCTTTTTCTGCTAGTCAGAAATACCTTTGCCATCAACGTGGCCCGGCATTGGGCAAGAATTATATAAATTTATATTTTTATTAAAGTTTTTAAAATTTTTAAAATTTAGATTAATAATGATCTCCCTTCCAGTTCCTGCATTTCTGACACGAGACGAGATGAGATTCTTTTTCTTTTTTCTTCCCTACTTTACATTAGTTTGTATTAGTTTTCACCTTTGTCTTTAAAACTTCTAATATAATGATTAAAAGAAAAAAAGAAAAGAATCCATTTTGTTCCAGAACAGGCTGCAGAGTCAAGAACTTGGGAGCCTGCCAGGAAAAACAAAAATGCATACAGAGAATCAGAGTCTCATGTACTGAAATGTCTCATTCACTAAGAGAAGGAGCATTAGGTTAACTGGTCCCCATTTTTCTCTATAGTAGGAATGAAATAATATTCTACCCCATATGCCAAGACATGGTCTGAGCTATTCTTATTCATAACACAGGTGCACAGTAAAAAAAAAATAAATCCTGCAGCTGTGGACTTGAACAGTTGAGCTATTTCCCTCCACCAGTAGAAATACTACACTTCTAATAAAATATGCTGTGTGTACTGCACCTCTGACTAAGAACACTTATACATGAGTCCATCTATACACCCTCAATGTACGAACAGAGAATAGCCATCAACAGTGTATAGATGAGGAGTATTCATACAGTATCTGTTTTTAGAATTACCTTCATGCTTATTATCACACTTATCCTTGGTGTAAAGAGATGCTAATATTGCGATCCTGTGCACATCTACTTAACAGACCTGAATGGAATTGAGCTACCTAAATGATAAAGAAATGAACTTGGGTATTGAGGATTCTATGCTGTGGCTTCACTGGTTACACATGGAGCAAGTCTCAGCTTTCAAAATCTCCACCTATAAAATCAATGTTTTCTGCAATATATTTTATATGTATTGTTCAATTCTTTAATCATATACTGCAAATGTGGTATGAGAACTGCAATCTGCAACTTATCTACTCTGTATGCTTGTATTAACTCTTGCTAGCACCAATGTTTTAATCTGGATTGCAATAAACAGAAGTATCAGGGAATACTGTAAATGTGTACACAGAATGGATAGAATGTCAAAAGGGATAACTGACATACTAAGATAAGAATAATTGGGTATCTTACCTTACCTACACAGGAAAGTTTTCATTCTGGTCTCTATTCTCAGACCACGAGAAATTACTGCTTTCTGGATCTTGACCATTCTGAGCCACATCCAGATACTAGAGCTTCAGAATTCAAAAAAGAATTCAAGAATGCAACCCTAATTGCATAAAATGAGCACAGAAAAATTAACCTGCATCTGGAAACACATTTTCTCTTTATTACCTTTTCAGCTTCTTTAATGGTGAGAATTTGGGGATAAACTCGGTTTAGCTGAAGAATAATTTTATCAACCAGCTGTTCACTCAGTCTGCCATTGCTGGTTAGAAAAGCCTTGTCCTGTCGCAAACGATCACAGTAAGTCTGATCTACAAAACAGAAACAACACATTTTTAAAAGAAAAGGAAAAAAAACTCAGATGATTTCTCTTAAGCATGGCTGAAAGGGAAGCGATAAACATTTCACTCTGACCATGTCCTCACATGCTATTAAATTTCAGGCATACTCTGAAAGCTGTCATGAAGCCGTGGCCTTTCTTAGATGTGTGCAACATTTAAAGGGGTGGGGCTTGGACTGAAGTGCCTTGGATGCCATATTGCCTGTTTTGACCCCTCTTGGAGGTTCCACTTAAGCTACTTATGCCATCAAACGTGAGAGTGACCCTTTGCGTGAGTAGCTTGTGTCTATGAGCCACTCTAGTGATATTACTGCTACTCAGTTAGACACAGAACAAGCAATGCTGTGTCACCTCAGTTGTGTTTGTATTACAAATATTAGGAACATTATAATTGGGGAAGGAGTAGGAAGTGAGAAATTCTGCACTGCCATGTAAGGTCCATTTTTTTTTTAAGTCCATTTTTTTTGTGAACATATACAGGTTCAGGCTGTTGTGGCTTTGTTTCTGCATATTTGACATAATTAAAAAGGAGAATTTCTTGCCTATCATCAATAAGAAATAGAGTTAATTCTCATAGAGAATTAAGGACAAGTAGACAGGCTGAAGTATGCACCATTTGTTCTGAGACTGTTAGAGGTAGGCTTTAAGATTCATATATTTCAAACCTTGGATCTACAGTTAAAGCAAGATAATGGCTAAACCTCTTGAGTCTCGCAAAGTTCTTCCTGAACATTCCCTGCAAAGAAACAGATCTCAGGAGGAAACAAATCTTTCTATGAAAGTCTTCTTATTGAGAAACTGTTTATAAACAGAACATAGTCTGAAGAAAAAAGTACCTTAATTTTTCCAACCAGTCACAGTATATTGCTCATAGCTTTTACCAGAAATTATTCTGAAGGTGTCAGCTACTGCTAATGAATCAAATTCTATTACAATACATATCACAATTAGCCAGGTAATTGGCAAATAATTTAACAACTTCATCTGGAAGATTTCTGATCAGTATTCACAATCTTAAATAGAGACCAATGTACTAAATTATCTGAATGGGATAACTACAGTATGTATTAGCTCTATGCCAACCGCTAGCTAGAAAATACTTCGTTCTTATGTACCCCTGCAGATTAATTATTTATTTTCTGAGTTTTGCTTTGACAGATTTTATGACATTTTCAATATTAAAAAGTGTTGTGTTTTGTTTTTCTAAATCCAACACAAAATCTAGCTCCAGGTCTATTTTCTCAGCAAGCAGTAAGTACGCATATTACAAACTCTGAAATTACTAGAAGTTCAAATGAATTAAATCTTATCTTGGATTCTATTACAGAAACAAATATGCAAGGGGAACCACAGATATTTCCATGAAACAGAAGGCCAAGTGTTTCTAAAAGCAGTGATTCTTTATCAAACATTTTATCTTAAACTAAACACAAAAAAAACCAGGACACTAATTCTGAGGAATTCTGAATGTTTTAATACTATAGAACTGAAAGATGCATGAAACTTACTAGGTTCCATGTACGCAAATGTAACATTTCTAATAGCCCCGGTTTTTATGTCTGCAGTTACAATGTATTAAATGTGTCATTTGCCAGAGTATTCTGCTCTTTATTTATTTGCCATATGCTTCCCATTAGTTCAATGAGAATCTAAAGAAAGGCAAGAAAATATCAGTACTGCACTGGGGCTCGGCAGTTGGGAAGTATGGGTTAAAACTACTGTAGTATAGACTGTGCTACTGAACTGAATATCCACCAAGAGTTGTGCTTGTTTGGGATCACAAGGTTGCCTCTAGTTGTGCCAGAATACACACAAACCACACACACACACACACACACACACAATATTACATACCATATTTGATTGATATTAACAGGCAATAAAATACATAGCTATAATTGATAAACATGGTTTTAAAAGCCATACACAAAAGATTCAACCAACTTTTAATCAAAAGCCTAAATCCAAATAATCAACCATATTGTCACAAAGGAAAGACAAACCTTACACAAACCACATTTTTCTTCAAAGAAAGAAAAACCTTATTTACCTCTTTTACTGTATTCTCATCAAAGCTAAGATAACCATCCCATGTTAACAGAAAATAAATTGCAGAAAAGAACTAATCATCTTTTCAAGTAAATACTGTGTATCGTTAAATACCATGTCACCAAGCAATCCAGAGAAAAGAATAATGCAGGTATATTTTTGTTTGTGGAACAAGAGGAAAGCTAACAAAGCAAAATGTTCTTTTGGCTTTGGCACAGATTTATAAACAAGTCTTTGCACAAAGCAGGCAATTATGGAAGTCACAATGACTGCCGAATGACCAGGTCATTATGAGAACTGCAGGTGTTTAAGGCCCTAATCCATCTCCTTCCTTCAGTTCTTTGAAAGAATCAGACAAATCCATACAAATGGAGAATCTGACTGCTGCTGGCAGCAAAAGCCCAAGCAGGTATTATTATGTAGGCATCATTATTTGAAAGAAAGTAGTTACAAAACTATTAAAACTTAGGCCATTTTTCAGACCTAGATTGGAGGCAGGAAAGGCTCCTTATTTCTGCAGTCTCTGATCATGACAGGGGAAGCAAGCAACAAGGACAAGCTATTTTCTTGCTTTTTGCAAGGCCATCAGTTTGGTCAAAGTTGGAATTGGGCTACTAGACTAAATTGGCATATGCTCTTATCCAGTATGAGCAACTCTTATTTCACAGAAACTAGAAATTTATTTGTAAAGCAAAAGCAAAAGAAAATGGGGACACCAAAGTCCACTGGAGTCGGGCAGCCAATAAATTTAAATAATAATAAATAATAAATTTAAATTATACATAAATAATAAATAAAACTTCCTTAGGCTAGGAGGCAATGTGAAGCCTGTAACACCCTAGCAATTAGAATGTAACTATTTGATCATAACATGGTTTGGGTTAGCCATAAAAAGTGTATGAACAAAGGATGGCAAATCTGGGGTAAAAAAAGAATTTATCTGGAAACAACCCTGGCTTTTGCCAGCTCTGTGCTGTACAAAGAAGAAGAAAAAACCCTATTGCTGATTGCAGTTAATAGAATTAAATAGCAATTAAAGCAAGCAGTTTGAGGACTGGTGTCACTTCCTGCAGGTATGCCAACAGATCCAATAAACAAACACTTTTCAGTAGGATCAACTCCACTTTTTTGACTTTATCATACAATGAACCAGACAAAGGTCTAAGATTAAGCAGCTGAGGGAATATATAACAATACAAAACTGCTTCCCAACTCTCACTGCCTCTTTCCTCAGGCTTTTTAAAAAATAACAGGTATGCGTTCTCAGAAATACAATACACAGCCCCCAAATCAATTCTCATTAAGAAACAGCTTCAGATTATTATGAATGCTAGACTCCAATAAACTAATCTAAAAGTAGCTCTGAAGGGCAGCATTGAGAAGTAAAACCTTAAAATTCCATATGGGCAATTTGTAGATGTGTTAAAAAGTAGCCATTCCCTTCAGAATAAAATCAAACCTTCATAGAAGCGTTAAAAACAGATGTTTCTGTCTGAAATGTCCCTGCATGTGTGACTGAATTGTTATACCTATTTTTGGAATACTATTAAACCATCTGATAGGAAAGTTATTTGGTGCTGCTTATTATAGATACGACAGGTCAGGACATATTTAATTTTGACTTTTAAAGGCACACAGCAAAAGGTAATAATTGCACCCCATGATTTCCTTCAGTGTCTCCTCACCTTAGAACAGTGTTTTACCTTCAGCCAGATCTCCTAGAGAGTGAAGGAAAGTGTCCCTTAGCAATCATTGCTAACAACAAAAATAGTGGAGGTGAGAG